GTTATGGATGGCACCAGGCACCGGTGACAAATCAATTCTTGCCAGAGCTGGATTTGTGACTTTCTGCAGGTGATATTACCAGCTGGAAGGAGGCACAGAGATGCCTCCAAAGGACAGTTAGTTACAACTAGATGTATTACAAAGGGATTTAAACCTCCCTATTGCTTGAGGGGGGTGAAAAAACCATAGTGAAGAAAACATTTCGGTGAGAATATACAGGATAAAAAGCAGAGCTGAAACGTTGGAGCTCTCTGTAGACTGGGTGAAGAGCAAAGCAAAGTCTGTGGCAGGGAAAAATGTATCCAAGAGGACCATGAACCTGACAGTAACCAAGACATACTGTGTAACTCCTCTCAACAACCACAGAAGAGTATTATTATTTTTAAAATTGTGTTTGAGATAATTAACTATTCTGATAAATAAGGCATAGTTAGAATTATCATCAACATCAAAACTGTCTGCTTTTCTTTACACTTACTATTCAACACGAATCTTTGTTTAGCAGTTTAATTTACAGAAGTCAACCTCAGAATTCTAACTTCCTATAAAATAAATAGGATAGCCCCAAATTCGCCAAACAAATTAGGATTGTTTCATTTTTTACCTGGTTTTGGAAAAACAATAATGAAATAATCTCATATAAAATAAAAATACTACCTTTCCTATTTCCTTTACTGAAATGCTCTGCATTGTTAAACATGCAACATGATGCATTTGCTTTAAGAAAAAGACGCCAAGTTGGAGAGCAGTAATTATTACAATATTAGAGATCTTTGAAGAGACTGTATTTCTGCTACTTTTTGTGCCTTCATTACCTTGTCCCTTTAGATTTTATTATTAATATTCAACTCAAACCTTAACTGAAAATACTCATCAAAGTTCAGTTTGCACAAAACTCAACTGTTTACTATTCTAAAATATAAAAGCTTAACAACATCTATGATGACCAAAACCACAACCTTGGCAGTTGGTGACAGTAACCTTGAAGTCAGTGACATTGCTCCCTCTAACTCCAGACCAGGGTTTCTCAGATTTTCTTCCCTTGTCTTGTCCCAAAGTTACAGTAAGAAAAAAATCAGCCATGAGGCAGAGAGGACACTTCACAGCACAAATTGCACACTTGTCTTTAATTTGGGGAAGTAAAATAAAAACCTACCCATTGGCTAGCTAACTTGCATCTAGCAGATGCACAACAGGATATACATCTTTACCATCCCTCTTTTTATATACAGCGAGGAGCAAAAACCAGCTGAATTTTCAAATGCACTTAAATGATACTAGAAATCTGAGTCCCGTTTTAAGAAGTAGCTTAAAAATGACAGTTTTCATTGAATATCGGGCTCGTTTACTTTTGAGAGTTCAGCAGTGCGCTTGGCAGAATTGCTGGGTGTTTCTGTATTTTTGAAAGTCTGCCTCTTACGACCTTAAGCATTTATTATAGACTTTAGAGACTTCCACACCTCCACGCATTCATCATGTTTGAAAACAGGGGTTTTCCTATTCTCAGCATTATATTGGGGAGCTACAGACACATTCCGCAGGGAGCACGACTCCAAGCACAGATGACTTCTCTCCAGCTAATGCCCTCTTGACACGCTCACTCTAAAAGGGCTCCGAGAACTCAACCATGCCATGGAGTCTCAACCCCGCTGTCCCAGGAGACCATCTACTTCCAGCCTATAAATTTTACCAGCTTTGTCCATCTGTGTTGCCCTGGTACGTTCTGCTGGTTACGGATATAATTTTAAACAGCGCCCGAGGTCTTCTGTATCTCGACTCCTACCTGCTCTCTTTTGGATGTGGGATTTATGCCCTTTTTATGTTCACCCTGAAGGCTTGTGGGAGCTAAGTTACACCAGGCTTGAACTAAAAACCTTTTCATATATCTTCCAAAAGAAAACCGAAGAGAAGTCATATACGCGGCACAAGCAGACAGAACACTACTGCATTCCCATCAGCTGAGTGATGTTTGCAGAATTATGTTTTTACCTTTTTTTACCTGTTTTTACCAGTTCTGACTCTGCCCATCTATGGAGCTGGTTGTTTCTCTAAATACTTATATGAGCAAATTTACTACTCACGCTCCTAAAAATCTAAGATTTACTGATTGAATACTATTAACAATATTCATCCTAATTTTTTTACAGCACATAAAGCCCCATGAACAGGGTAAGGAAAACTCTTCAGGTTTTTGTGGTGACCTCTTTCCCCCCTTCCAGCACCTCCGACAACCTGAGTCCTCTCTGAAACATCAGGAGAAAACTCATTTCTACTTTTTATCGTCAACATTGTAAGCACTTCCCTACAGGGGGTGGGGAGGTCAAAAAGGCTTACAGAGATAATCTTTACTTAGGCTGTAGCATTAATTAGGCAACTTGGCCAAGGCCAGTAATTACAACTGTGCTAAATTGCACTGAATTTCTGTAGCATTGATGTTTCATGGGAAGAAAGGTGCAAATTTGAAGGAATAAAAGCCAACACTGGCTTTTCTTACCTACTGACTTCTAGTATGTCTGCTGATGGGGATGGCCAGTACAGGACTGACAGAAAACCAGTATATGAGCTCTCACCACCACGCTCCAATGGAGAAGGTGGACAGGAATGCCTGCATCTCCCAGTTCAGCAAACTGTGCAGACAAACTGCTGTTATCCCACAGGATCCTCCATTCCTAGCACAGACTGGCAGAGAGGCTTCCTTCAACTCCCACAGAATCCAGTCCAAACCCCAGCAAAATCAACACAAGTGCCCCAGTACACTTTTGGCAACCTCTTTAGAAGCCCAGAAGGTCCCAATCCTCAAAGCTTCCTCTGCCTGCAGCAGATTTCATCCCAATAGGAAGTTCCCACCCCAGACCTCCAAGCACATTAAGGCGATGTCTGTTTGGGTGATGTGATTGGCACCACTGTGCCTTCTATACGTTTTTCTCCTTTATCAGGACTGTTAGCAAAATCTCTTACCATTATTGAGCCTGATCTAAGTAGTAAACTAAGAAAATTAAATTGACGTCATTCTCAGCAACATTTAGAAATTGCAAGCTAAGCAGCTGCCACTTAGTTGTAGTAACTCGAAGTATATTATATTGAAAGAAGTATCACAACAACAAATATTGATTTTGTCAGGTTTGGGGTTTGTTTTTTGTTTTTTTTCCAAGCAACATATGTTGCATGTTCCATATCTGTGGGGCTACACAGACACGGGTTTCATTGCAGTAGCTCTGACTCTTGCCAAACAGATGTTGAGGGAAAGCAACAAAACACAACAAGGGATAAAAGCTGTCTCAGATCAAAATGTTGGGTTAGGAAAAACCTTGTGTGTAACGCAGTATACTAAAAACATTGATTATGTATTAATATATTGAATGGATAGGTAGCTAAAATTGATGCTTGATGACATTTATTAAGATCATGCTATTAGGTAGAAAATAATTACCAAATTACCAAATGCTAAGAATTATGTTAATTAAAGGATAGCAACTCCATAAGATTTTAAGTTACAAAGTATTCATATAATTCCTTTTACCTGAAATCCTGATTCTCACTAATATCCTAATCGCTAGCTGAAGTACTTTGAAAAGTGATGAAGAGTTTGAAGAGGGATATTTTTAAACCACTCTTTGAAACAGTAAAATGGCAAGCGATTCCCAGTCCCTGAACACAAAGAACTGGAGTATTATCCTGAGACCAACAAGAGTTCTCTGCAATTTGCTTTAATTTGTGTAATACCCAACCGGTAGGGCTTAGCTTATTTCAATACTTTATTCCTGACTAAGCCTAATGACAGAATTCAGTTCAATTTACTCTCTGAGAAGACAAAGAGGTTAATTTTTTTCTGGAGTCAACATTTTTCATCACCTGTACCCTTCCCCATTATGAAAAAAATTTGATTTGTATGTAGTAGAGTCACTTCAGCGCATGAAAACTGACATGAAAACCTTCATACCCATTTTTACCACTGAATTTAGTAACACCGTTGGCTCAAAACACGGTATTGCTTCAGGATCTTAGGCTTGGCTTAGCAAATATAATAAAAGACAAATTATCTTAGAAGACTTCTGCAGTTGCTTTCAATGTATTTCTGATTTGCTCAAGAACAACTCTTTGGACGTCCATGACAACAATCCTTTCTAACCTCAGGTATTGCATGTAGGGTCTTTTGCTTCTGAACTGGTACAGTTAAAAAAATCTGCAATGTGTTTCCTTTATCATGAAAAAGGAACTTGCAGTTCCAGAAGCCACAAATAAGCTTATCCACCCCCCCTATACAGAAATAATTTTCAAAAGTTGGCAGGAAAACCTAGTTTCTTCCATATTCGCTGCTACAGAAAAGTGATTATACTCTGACACAAACGTGTTATATAAACTTTCAAAGCAGTGAAAAGATTCCACACAGAAGAAAAAAACCAATAAAATCAAACCCAGTCAGTAGATATTTTAGAACATTTTATATTCAAAAAACAGGTATTAAAGAAAAAAAGAAAGAAATCACAGTCTTTCAGAGTTCAGTTTTTCCCTCCTAAACCTACCCATGCAGACTAAAGGTTTCCTTCACTGTATAGACTGAAGAACAAAAGCCAGGATTCACTTATTTGCATGACAGTAGAGAAGGATTTCTGAGAGAATCAAATAGTAGAAAACATCATCTGAAATCTTGTTTTTTGACCAAGTTATTTGACAATTGACTGGATCTAGGACGGCTGGTCTATCAGCTATATTTCAATTCACTTTGAATTACCCACTTCTTTCAATTCACATACATTAAAGCTAATATTAATGTATTTAGCAATAAAATATTCTTAAAGCAAAAACTAGAATGACTAACACGAATCCATGTTGTTAAAAATTACTCTAGTTTCATATAGGTTTACGAAACCTTGCCAAGCACCATGAGAAAACTCAACACAAAGAAAAAGTCAAGGTTTGCAAATAAGATTCCACATAAAATGGATCACTTAACATCAGCATCTGAGTGCACTTGGACAAAAACACCTCAAGGTACATACCTGTAAATCCTTTCAATGTTTTCAGCTTTGATTTCCTTGAGGATCTCATGGTAGATATGACGGTTATTTGGTTCTTGAGATGTTGGGGGAGAAGGGCATTTCTTCCGTGCGTAATATCCTATCACAATTCCAAAAATAAATAAAATCAAAGCAGTGCAAAAGACTTTCAGTATCCGAAAAGAATTGCAGCGGTTGCTCTTTGGTGCCTGTCTCGTATAGTGGGAGATGTAGTCGGGGTCTTCCTGAAGCCGCTGGAATCTTCCCTTTGGAGAAGACGACGGCTGGATGGGCTCGAGATCAAGGTCAGGGCTCTGTGAGTTTCCCACATGATGTTGGGCCCCACCACCCAGTCGGAAATGGTCAAAGCCGGGCTCCTCCAGCTCTTTTTCCATGTCCCATTCCAGTTCCAGCGCCGTGGCTTGGAGCTCATCGTTGTCAAGGTACGGAGAGTGCCCCTGTGCTCTCTGGTCCGCGTTCACTTTGTGATAGGCCATCTTTTTCTCTGTGAAAACAAAATTAAAAAACAAACAAACAAACATAAATGTTTGTTTCCTTATGTCCACATAGACAATTTATTCTTTGTAAACCCATGAGAAACTAATATATGATAAAAAGCAAAAACTGCGTTCTTCAGTATTTCTCTTTCCCTGTTTCCATCGTCCTGTCTTCTTCTGTAGGATCAGCAGTCCCATGACCATCGTCAGATGTGAAAGAAGACATTTAAAGGAATATAATATATTGCAAGAATATGAATAAAGGGGATTTTTCAAGTGACAATAGCAAAACACAAAAGTTATCCTATTATTTCGGCAGTCCCCAGGATAATATTAAAAAGTTGAGCAGAGGCGCAGTTTCCAAAGCAATTATTTGTTACCTGAAAGTAAATTTAAAGCTTAACAACTGTGTGTATCAATTTCATTTCACACACCATACAAAATAATGCTGTTAAAAATAAGTTGAAAAGGTAGAAATAATATAACTTGCCTGATCTGTTTCTAGACACAAGGAAATGATAAGTTAAAAAAGAAATTTCAGGGTGACACTGTACTTACACATCAATAAAAGGCTTCCATTTAGATGGAGCATTCTATTATTTAGAGGTATTTTAAATGCATAGTTCCTGAATGACTGATGAATTTACTTAGAAATTGTCCCAGCTGTTTTGCTCCACTTATTTTTCCCATTTTAATGAATCAAAAGCACTGCCAGGTAAGTATTTATATCAAAATCATTCCTTTAATGGCAAGGCATATCTGCGGCACTTCTAGATATTTCTATGGAAGTATGAGCCCTCTGAAGGGAACTCTGACCTCCAGTACAAACATTCAAAGTCAATTTTCAACAAATCATTTTTAACAGACTGCAACAATAGGGTGCCGTTTCCCTCCATACTTTGACAATAGCTACTCCATCACATAAGCATCTGTAATTTAGGGCTTTTCAAACATCAGACTCACTCATCAATTAGAATAAAATGAAGATAACGACATTAAACCTCTCACAGTGATGGATATCAGACTGACACCTACAACACTGCATTATCCCTCCGGTTTTACATTTTCAGGCATTTTCTTTCTCTGAGACTTACTTCTACAAAACATTATTGAGGCCACATAATAGATGAACCTACTCTAATGGCAAAATAGAATTTAGCTTTTAGAAGCTCTCTGAAGAGAGCAAACCGTTAGAAAGCATTGATATAATGAAACAGCCTATTGTCCACTGACAGACTGTCTTCCTCTCTATAATACCAATTTTCAGATCCTATTTCCTCGTACAGCCGTACAAATATCCCTTGCCCATAACTGTCAGGCAGTCCAGGAACAGTCAAGAGAGCCCACACTTGAGGTACGTGTTTCAAGGGTAGCTATTGTATCTATTTTGCAAATCAATGCTCTGCCCACAGTCCAATTTTTTCTATATACAGGGGAAGCGACAGAGGCTAGAATGATCACATTGTCTCCTCACCCAGGTTGGCAAGGGAGATATTTCATAATACCAGCCCCAGAATTGATCCCTGGTGCACCCAGCTTCTTCCCAAGCACCAATTGGACACCGAGTGATTTATTAATCTTTCATAATACCAGCCCCAGAATTGATCCCTGGGTGCACCCAGCTTCTTCCCAAGCACCAACTGGACATCGAGTGATTTATTTATCTGCTCTGGAAAATTGAGCTAAGCAATTTTCAAATTATTTATCTGCCCTTTCACTCTCCTGTTTGGTTGGCGGAGGCATTCATTTGCAAAACATCACTACTAGATAATAACAACTGCCCAACAACCTCATTTTTCCCCACTGCATTTCATGCTGCTTTTTATTAGAAATTAAAGGCAAGCGTTTTCTCCTTTGAAAGCAAAACAAATCATTACTGTATTCCATAAATACATAATTTTGACTCAAGAATTGCTAGTCATACAACAAACTGCTCTAGCCAAATAAATAAACACATATCAGATTACAACAATATTACCCATAGAATAGGAGTTAAGGCAGTTTTTCAGATGCAGTTACATGGCAAATATTAATCTTGCTGCACGTATAAATGGTGACCACTGCACATCCGTGGTAGTTAAGTTTTCTCTGCATTTATGACATTTTAAAAATGTGTGCTATTGTTCAATGGAGTGTAATAATAAAGGTTATTTAAATCTACGCATAAGCACATAATAAAAAAATCCTATGAAATTACTTTAAATGGTTGTTAACTCAGATGAGTGGTAACCACATCCCCCAGCTTAGTATCTCTGCAATTCAATTTTCATATAAAGCACCAAAACCAGTTACCTCACTCCAGGAAAAAAACCCAAACAACTACATGAAGTAAACCAAAAATCAATATTCAATTCCGTTTTATATTTGATCCCTGGCTTTGGTGTATGGGAACTTCTTGGCAACGTGTGTGCTTTAGTTAAAGAACATTAACAATGCAAGAGTAACCCCCAGTCTCCATCTATTCTACTAATATCATTAAAGTCCATTATTTTAATGTAAGGACACAGCATAATTTACCACGAAGTATGTGGGAATAGGGCCCGCAGTGTATTTAACTGTGCCAACACTGATTTTAGAAGGGGATCTCCTGATTCTCAAGGCACAAATCATTTGTGCCATGTCATCTATATCATCAGTTATATTTAGTATTTCGCTGGTCAAGGAAGTAGAAGTGACTTAGAGATTACATAATAAATGTAATTTTAGGTAGGAATTAGAAGGATAAAGAAAATGCCACACAGAGTAAAACAAAAGAAAATAGAAAAACAGACAAACTATGAAGTCAAGAAAAATCACTATGATACTGTAGTTCAGTCTTCTCTGTAACACAGACCATAATATGAACATATTTTTGAAAAAACTATGAAGTCAAGAAAAATCACTATGATACTCTAAGTTCAGTCTTCTCTGTAACACAGACCGTAAAATGAACATATTTTTGAAAAACACTTTTGAAAACTTCAGGAGATAGAAAATCCACCCCATCTGCCAGCAAGCTGTTCCAGCATTTAATTGTTGTTAAATACATGTTTTATTATAAAGATAAAAGAGTGACTGCAAAACACCAGAAGTCTGAATGGGCACCAAGCGAGCTTTAAAGCCATTCTATGGGGACAGCAAAAGGGATCGTAAACTCTGGAATACTGGACAGAGCCAGGCTGATGACCAATAAAGTTGATGTGCATTTCTATACTTCCACTTACTTGTGGGGAGAACGTTTGTAGAGAGGTACCAAATCAATGCTAATTATCCTTTCAATTAACTGTACACCAGAAATCAGGAGAGTCAGCTGTATCAGATCACTTAATGAGCCCATTTCAAAACTATTTACCTGTTCCTTGATCTTAAAAATAATGCAATTACATCCTGATGAGTACATTTTGTTAGGAAACAACCAAAAACTTTTTTTTTGCAATTGCTTTTCTACTTGAAACCCTTCTCAATGAAGCCTCTGAAAACTATATGAAAAGGACTACATGAAAAGTGCTGCATCTGTATCCCTACCGCTCCCCAATACCTCCACAATGAATATTTTAGGAAACCAACATGGAAAGACCAATATGAATATATTACAGTAAATTCTGCATGACCAGTGCAGTAGTTGTTTAATCCAGTCTATAAATAGCAGAGACAATTAGCAGGCTCGTTCACAGCGGTAAGAGTGGCAAGTGTTCACATGCTGCCCATAGCCAATGCCGCCTTGGGGCATTTAGTGTTCATTACTGAAAAGGCATATATTATCCAGGAATTGTACTAAAGCCATTGTGGCTTCTTTGTGTTGTCACAAAACCAGAAATCCAGGCTTGTTGGCTAATCTCATTTTAAAGGTTCTTTCATTTTGATTTTCTTCTCGGTATCCCTTATACATAGTGTGTTTGCTTTAAGCCCTAGTAATCTTTTTGCTCCTAGGCAAACCCCCAAAGCAGGTACAATGTCACCTGTTTGAAGGGCAAATAGCTGTACTTACTGCAGAAATCAACACCCACCGCACATACAAGTGTTTAAAGCGTATATGACAACAATTTAGTACTTTGTTAAATGAGACGAAGCCAAGTTTCAGGCCTAGACAAATTTCTTGAGAGTTATAAATCCCTGACAAAAGTTGTTTGGAGAAGAGATTAAGATGCCCTTGTCAACAGCAACATTACACCACACTGTAATTAAGGAAATAATGTGGCATTTCCATCATCGCTTCCTTTATTTTCTGCAGTAATGATTTCTCCCTTCCCTCACGTTTGGGATGTGGGCTTGGCAACCAGCGCAGTTACAATAGGACAAGCAAGTTCCTTTCACTCTGCACAACCACCGTATAAAATTAAATGACAAAACTTACATCCACATCCAGTTCCACCCCCCTGCCCTGGGGAGGGACATCTCCCACCAGACCAGGTTGCTCCAAGCCCCATCCAGCCTGGCCTTGAACCCCTCCAGGGATGGGGCAGCCACAGCTTCTCTGGGCAACCTGTTCCAACGTCTCACCACCCTCAAAATAAAGAATTTCTTCTTAATATCTAATCTATATCTCCCCTCTTCCAGCTTAAAACCATTACCCCTCATCCTATCACTCCACTCCCTGATAAGAGTCCCTCCCCATCTCTCCTGTAGCTAGAACATCCTGGGCCATCCAGGCGTGCACAGGTACACAGGTATGTATTTACCTGCTGCCTTTTCAGAAAATTTTAAGTTTCTAGGAGAAACTTCCCTCTTCCTAAGTAAGAGGAAGAAGAATTGCCAGGAAGCTCCTTCTCACCCAGCAGACAACTATCACATAAAGATGAGGCAGACTCAGCTGGTCTCTAATATGCTGGGCATGTATTGCGAACATAGATCTTTTCCATCCTCAGACATGTTTGGTTTGCAAATACCTATTTGCCTGAAACAAAACTCAGAAATATTTACTGAGCTTCTAGTAGCTAACAGCATCCCTGATATATGCATAGCCTACCGAGGAGGTTTATTAAAACTGCAGCATAATCAGATCAGTACAAATGGCTCCGTTAGGAAGTCT